TTATACGTTGGGGGGCGAAAAAAAATTTTGTGGACGATATAGTAAAACATTATATTAAGAATAATTAGATATCGTACAATAATTAAACAAATAACATTATACTAGTTACTAGTCTATTCAATACAGAATGAATTTGGCGTTTGTCTTGGCCCTCGGCATTGGAATTTTGAAGTGAAGGGGACGATACAACGTAACGGTTTATTGAAGGACGCGATACTACGTTTAAGGGGCGACGATTCGTTAGAGGTTGAGAAACACTGATATAGAGTCTCTCAAGTCTCTGTAAATTTAACAAATACAGAAATAAATAACACAAAATAAATTGTAACTATGTGTCGATTCCGCGCGAGACGTCCGAACATGTGAGCTGAACAATAGTGTGGGAGGAGTGAGTTATCAAGAGTTGCGTGGCGCTTAAACAAAAGACGAATCGACGAGATTTGAAAATCGCGTAACTCTGGGTTTGCGTAAGTCGGGGTAGCGTATGTCCAGGTATCACTGTATATCAAAAACAGATATCTGTAAAAATACCTTGTTTTTTAATTTATCCAGACTGTCATTGGTTTTCCACGAAATAAACTAAAACAGCATGATATTGGAGAAAAAGAAAAATTTCATCTTTTTTGAACAATAGATCACATAAATTAGTAGTAAAATCAATACGATAAATTGCTGAACTCGTTACCAGATTACAATCAATTATAAGTGATTACAGTCAGACATCGGTTTTCGAACTTAATTCCTTTCTAAAAATTGTTCGATAACCGGTTTGTTGTAAAACCAAAACATATTTTATCACAAGAAACAATATAAAATGAATTAATCCATTCACGACCTCGTGTATAAGAATGCGTTCGCATGTAATGTAACATTTTATTATATTATCTATATTTTTTTAATATATATTAAAAGCAAAATGTTTTGTAATTGTCAACATAAACTGAAACTAACACTTTACAAAAAAGTCCTATAAATACAGTCTCACTTCTGACTGCCTGGACGAAATACAGTAAAGCGTCGATTATCCGAATTAATTGGGGACTGGGGTTGTTCGGAACATCGCTATTTCGGATAACCGATTGTGTACGAACAAATATATTAACCGATTTCATGTTGAAATTTTTCTCCATTGCATGTCGTTTCGCGTTGAATTTTCGTCGATGTTAAGCCTAACGTAAACTTTTTAAAATAATAATCGTGACTATAGTATCGTTAAAAATTATTTCTTTATTTTGTACAAACAAAATAAATATATTAAAAAATATAAAAACAATAAAAAATTATACTTCAGAAGTTAATTTAGTATCAAACACGTAACATATTTCAGTAGCACAAGACATAGCCAAAGATTGCAGTGCCACAGCATAGGCGAAAATTTAAATTTAACGACTGAAATTCTTTCGGATAATTGACTTTCGGATAATCGACGTTTTACTGTATAACAAAATAAATCCACATGCAAAAGTACTTTATCCACATTTTTTTAAATATTACGTTACAATTAATTTAATTTCAATTTTAATTAATCAATTAATTTTAATTTTATTCCTAGTTTCAGTTTTGGGGAAAAGACCAAAGTATAACTTATTATTTTATAATTTTTAATTTTAGTTAATTGGCTACCCTAATATTAATAGATACTAAATATTAATATTATAATATATAGTCTAATATTATATTAATAAATTTATATCAGCGAGGTTGAGGCCGTAGTTTTAAACGCGAAAACGTGTACGTCATATGTTCAGCGCCGCTTTGCTGTAAGCCTACAAGTTTGACTATGGTGTTTGGATAGTCAGTGGAATCATGCTTGACATTACAAACGCCATTGAAAAACTTCTACGCTTACGGGAAAGTGGCGCTGAACATCCGACAGACACGTTTTCGCGTTTAAACTTTTCGCTTAACCTTGCTATTATTTAAGTTCAATAAAGCATCATTAATTAAACACGAATTCATACATGTCAGTTATATTATGCGAATGTCAGTTAACGCGGTTTTTATGAATTATTATAATTGAAATTTAATCTCTCAGTGTGCCGAAGGAATGTTAATAGCACCTTTCCAGCACTAGCGTTGTAATCTGATTTAAATCACAACATCATTGATGATTCGTGCCGTAACATTTAATGACACAAGGAGATATCGCTCAAGTAACGTCGGAATCGGTGGTCTTTCGCTGATTGCTGGAGAAGTTGACTCTCTTTAACTCAGGAAGTGCAGGCATTTGACCGTTTGTCGGCAGCTCTTGCAGAATAGCTTGTTTGACAACTTATCGGGAAAAATATGGTGTTCAAAATTATGTTCGTAATCCAAGGCGTTCGAAATTCGATGTTTGACTGTACTTATCACCACAACAACCAAAAAATATTTTCAAAAGGTAAAACCAAACCCAAACCTAAATTAATATTTTGTGCATATAGTCAAATTGTGTTGAGTTATTTCAAAAACTTACCTCCACAAGAAAATTGAAATAGGAATAACTTTCTGTGTGAATTTGTCTCTTTAATCCGACCAAATCGGATTAAAGAGACAAATTCACAACGAAATAGCAGCTACCATAAGTGAAATTTTTCAAAGGAATAACTTTCCTCGAAGAAATATAACTGTATGTATATATGGAGTGCTCTGCATAAATCGTCTATAGTATAGACCAGGGATGAGCAACACGCGGCCCGTTAAACATGTTTATGCGGCCACCATCAAACATTTTTAAAATTGAATTTATTTTATCGACTTTCTCCCATCAATATATTGTTACAAAATTAATTTTAATAAAATAGTAGTACATACTAAACCGAAACAATTTTTTGTTACTCACTTGTCAGCGACTTGTTCAAACATGCAATACGAACGCGCCGCGTCTGTGCTTGTTCGTGTTTGCTTCTGTCACACAATCAGTTAGACTGGTAAGCTGTTAACTAGCAATTTTAGCAATTCTTGTGTTTCTTGAAAGGCGTGAGTGCAATATTATTGTGAAAAAGGTAATATTAGAGGTTTTTTATTCAAAATTAAGTTTTCCTACAATTTTTTAACTTTCAAATTTTTAATCCATAATAGCATGTCGGAAAAGCAAACAAAAAAAACGGAAGGTTGCGGATGAGCACAGGCATTTCCAAGAAAAGTGGAATTTGATTATTTTTTCACTTTCGTCGAAGATAAAGCTGTATGCTTAATATGCTCAGAGACTGTGTCGACATTAAAGGAATATAACATAAAAAGGCATTACGATACAAAACATGAACAACAATGTAAAAACTTAACAGGACAACTCTGGATAGATAAGTTTAATCAAATGGAGAAAAACTTGGGAAAACAACAGGCTATTTTTAAAAATCAAGCTATTTTATCAAATACGGCAGTAAAGGCTAGTTTTGTTGTCAGTCAAATACTGGCAAAAAAATGAAACCCTTTGCGGATGGAGAGATGATAAAAGAATGTCTGACTGCTGTTGCAGAAATAGCATTTCCTGATAAAATAAATATTATTTCAAACATTAGTTTATCAAGATTCACCATTGCAAGGAGAATTGAAGACTTGTCTGAGAACATTGCAACAACGCTTCGTGAACGCATTGCAAAATTCGAATACTGTTCTTTGGCACTTAATGAGAGTTGCAATATTAGCGATACAGCACAACTGGCTATATTTGTACGTGGTATTGATACCAAATTTAATATTACCGAAGAATTGTGTTCACTGATTCCAATGCAAGGGACTACAACCGGGAAAGACCTGTACGATAAACTAAAGTCTGTGTTGGAAAATTTTTCAATTTCATTAGAAAAGATTATTGGTATATCGACAGATGGAGCACGAGCAATGTCAAGCATGGAGGTACAAGTATCAAGAAGGTTATTTCAAGACATTAAAAAAGTCACAGGAAGGGAAATATTCGTTAACCACTGCATAATTCACCAGGAAAATTTGTGTGCGAAAAGATTGAGTTTGCCAATTGTCACAGTACCAATAATTATACTAATCAATTTTATAAAGTCGCGCGCGTTAAATCGCCGTGAATTTAAAGAATTCCTGAAAGATTTAGAAACTGAATATGGCGACGTTGTTTTTAATACCGAAGTACGTTGGCTTAGTACAGGTGGAATGCTAAAAAGAGTATACAACTTAAAAAGCGAAATACAATTGTTCTTGGATATGAAGGGATACGCCTTTTCTCATTTTGGTAATAAAGAATGGATGCGCGATTTTGGGTTTCTTATCGACATGACTCAGCATCTCAATGATCTTAATGTGGAACTTCAAGGCAAAGGACAGTTTATTCACAATTTGTATGATAAAATTCAGGGCTTTGAGCGCAAATTAAAATTGTGGAAACAGCATTTTTTTGCAGAATAATGTGTCTCACTTTCCACATTTAGAAAAAGAAAACGTTACTACTTCTCAAAAATACGCACAATATATAGACATTTTAATCAACGAATTTCAATTACGATTCCAAATGTTCAAAGCTGAGAAGACAGCGGTTTCCATGAAAATCTCTTCATCGCCATTTAATATCGATGTGGATACAGTTCCCGAAGACTTTCAAATGAAAGTGATTGACATGCAGAATAATACCGATTTAAAAAATGTATTTTTCTCAGTAAACATCGAAAATTTTTATAAATTTTATGTGAGCCCTGAGAAATTTCCGCTTTTGACGAAAAACGCAAAGCAAATGATGTCTCTGTTCGGAAGTACGTATGTTTGCGAACAATTATTTTCAAGCATAAAATTAATCAAAACTGACCACCGATCAAGACTGAGTGATGCACGATTAGAAAGCTGCGTACGTGTAGCTACCTCATCAATTCCGGCTGATATTGATCAGCTTGTATCGAAAAAACAGTGCCAAATTTCTCATTAAAAATTTCAAGTAAATTCGTTTTTCTGTTCTTTTCTTGTTTGTTTTTATTTTGCATTAAAATTTGTATATGAAATCTTTACTTTTTTTAAATTTTATATTTTTTTATTCTAATGTTTATTATAAATAAAGTTTTGTAAATTATTAATAAGTGTTACTTTATGCGCGGCCCGCCAAAAAATTTTAAAATTTAAATTGGCCCGTTGATTAAAAAGGTTGCTCACCCCTGTTCTAGAGTAAATACAGATATTCTAGATTGAATATATATATATATTATCAAATATTAAATTTTTTAAAGTTTTTATTTTTTTTAAATTTCCGTTGTTTGCGTGTGTTTAATTTTAATAAACTAGAATGATCCTCAATAGTTAGAAATTCAGGTGTTTATTTATTTAATTCAAATATTAATTAGAAAGAAAATGTTTACATTTCTTGTATTTTAATATTAATTTTTGAAAAAATTTAAATAAAATATTACTTTTGATGTATATATATATATATATTTAACAATAACTTCAGCACAAAAGTAATTTTTTGTGGTATTACACTCATCTATAATTGGTACAATTGATATGTATTAATAAAACATATACAATTTAGGTATGAACACATGAATTAAACTATAAAGATTTCATGCCGCCAGTACGTCTATCAGCTGTGAATGCAGGACTAATCGTGTACAATCGTTTTATTTACTGTTTAAAGTGCACGGAATATATGAAGTATACACATTAAAACAAACAAAAGACATTGTTGTCTCACGGCAGTTTCGAAACAATCTGAAAATAAATTGTTTTTTTACAGAAATATTAAATAACATCCGTTAAATGTAGCCATACAATCGTAATTCTCTTTATATTACAGACAAGTAATTGTCTGTAATATAAAGAGAAAATTTCGCTTTACTTCTAATTTCAAACAAATTCATTTGGAAATTGAACTTAGCCACTGGTGGGTGCCAGTGGCTAAGTCGCAACCACTATTTAACACTGGTAGATAGTGGCAGGTTTGCGCCTCGCCAACCGGCTTGCCGGCCACATGCAGTTTTTCTAATTTTCATCGCGTTTTTAGCATATAAATTAGGACCAGTTTTCTATAGGAATGAATTGGCCCGGATCGTGATCTAGTGCAGTGGCGTAGCGTAGTGGGGGCGGCAGGGGCGGCCGCCCCGGGCGGCACTTTTAGGGGGCGGCAAAATTTCACAATAAATAATAATGGTTCAAATTTTTACAAGATATTATTTCATTTCATATTTTTGTCGCACCTACGATACGGACCGATTGAAATGAGCACAGAATTTTTCATTACTTATTCTGTGACGAAACTCTATTTTAGTCTTTTAAATTGAGATACCTAAATAAGGGGGCGACGAAATTTTCCTCCGCCCCGGGCGGCTGACACTTACGCTACGCCACTGACCTAGTGACGAATTATATAGTAATTAATTAAATATAATCGCAGAAAAGTAGCATCATGTAATCCGTTGGATGTTTGGTTCCATAAAGAAAATTTCTCGAATATCAACTTTGACCTATGGTACACAAAACGGCATTTGGTATAGTTTGTTGATGATTAGGGCAGGATTTAGGCTTGATAAGACCCTAAGCTATTTGATATATGAGGCCCTTTATTAGTCCAGATATGATATGTCAGTGCCAAATATGATTTTCGAATATCTAGAGGGTTAAACTGAAATTGGGTAAAGAGTATGGGACGTTCCGGACGTTTGGCATTGGTACAAATAATGCTGCAGTATATTTAAGTATATATGACAATTGCTCACTCGGACTATTTTTTTGGGGCCCCCAAGAAAGTGGGGCCCTAAACTATAGCTTGTGTAGCTTATACATAAATCCTGCAATGTTGATGATCAATACTCAAGGTGTTATTATTATTAGTTTGCCTGACCAGATGATAGCAGTATTCATATTGACCAGTCAATATAATAAATTATGATAAATAACATGAGATTTACTACAATGCCTGTTTTTGCTTGTCATTATTCATAATGGCCAAATAATAAAAATAATGCCCGAATTATCACATGGTCCGTAACACATATACATATACAAAAGAGATATATTAATAAATAAACAGCTAATTTCAAATTAGCTACATATGACGTCAGAAAATTCTCTCTCGATGGTGACAGCCGATTTAAGAGGGCTTTTTCTTTTAATTCCACATATCATGAATAGGAATAACAACGGCTTTCTTATTGCCCACAGGGCGGAAAGTAAAACATGAGGAATAATGCTATACGGATCGATGACAGTAATCATTAGTACATCATCGATAATTGCAAGAAACTATGAATAGTTTTAAAGTTATCGGTTAAACCACGCATTATAGACAGTAGGAATGTTCCATTAAATGTGGAAGGAAGTAGATAATACCGTCGACAAATCGCGCTACAGCACGGTAGGTGTATTTATGATGTAAACAGTAGTCAATTGGAGTGGACAACACTCTGATTACCAGATATTAACAGACTGAGACGATGAAAACAATAAGTAACTTCTAAATTATTATTTTCTGTTAGTTACTTTATAATAATATTGCATCTTAGATGTTAATTTTCAAGATGATTTTTATTCTATCAAAATGTAAACTATAGATTTTACAAATCTGTAAGATAATTATCATATAATTGTGATATTTTGAAATATTCAAGATGGAAGGCAACTGCCTCTATTGTCTTCTTCATCCAACATTTTCGTTAGCTATACCCTTCGGAGATATCTTTGTCGAACGATGTATCTGTCATGAGCTGACTCCAATGCAATCGAAATTCGTATCAATTCATGCAAATTTCGTGCAATTGGTTATAATAAGCCACTCTCTGATGCTTTTGTCTCACCACTTTGCGACGAAAGACAACATTATCGCTTGCAGCCCAATTGTTAGAGCGGAAAAAGTCAATTCTCATTATATGACAAGAATATTTCTTTGTATTTCTTGGGGTTCTGTTCTCCTAATTGAAAGTGGCAGAAAACAGAAATTGCGCTTTACATGAAGATACTCGAATACGAAGGAGAAATAGAAAAAGTACGATATTACCAACGTATTGTAAATTATACTATCGGAATCGCTTACACTTTTTCGATGTGTTTGCTCATATTTATCAATTTGATAGTATTCAAAGAAATTGAAAAGAATTCAAGCTATTCGAGGGCCATCGTCTGCTCTGTATTTTTCAAAATTGCCTCCATGTATGAGTCTACAATATGGATGTTGTACGCGCCTGTAGTCCTATTAATTGGCATAATCATAACCGACAGATTCAAGGCTTTATCAATGCAGTTACAACAGGCGAAAACGCAATGGCCAAAGAAGAATATCGACCGTTTGATATCGAAACACGTCGAATTTTGCGGTGTAATCGAAGATGTTAATGAAAAATGGAATAAATATGTATTTGCTTTATATGGGCTTATCCTATATCTTGTATCCTTCATGATATACACATCAATATTTGTAACGGACGCTCTTCATCGTCGTGTTACAATGTGCATTCTTACGATTATTCTAAGCATGATAATATTTGTTGGGGTGTTCTCAATTTCAGGCCGCGTCTCTTCGGTAATTACACGCAACAACAAACATTTTTCATGAAATTTCTTTATTGTAATTTCTCAAAATCTATTTTGAGATTTATGATTCTTTTCAAGAAATCAGAAGAGTTGCTAGTAATTATCTGTCATTGCAAGACAAGCTAAAGGTAGGACTATATAGATTGCATTAGTACTAAGTAAATGATGGACTTTTTATTATATCGACTTTTTATTGTACAGATTTTAAATTTCATGAAGAAATTTCAAGAAAATAATCTCGGATTCAGCTGTGGAGAATGCTTTATAATGTCTAAAGACATACCAGTTACGGTAAGAAAATTCTGAATATTAACATCAGTTTTATTTTTCTCATCTAATGAAAGGAACCAAATTATTAAAACAAATTAGAAAATCGGTTAAAATATTAAAAATTGTGTTCATTGAGTATTTTTGAACTTTACTTCTCTTCTCAGGTGTATGAAAATTGGAATACAATATTCAACATGCTGTTGCAGACACAGGATGTGGTTTTAGGAACAATATCGTCATCTTGTACATCAGCACCTGTTTCCAAACCATCACTCAATTTCACCAATAGTACTTCATAGAAGTAAATATTTGATGTTCTGAGAAAATGAAATGAATACAAATGAAAAAATATCATAGAAAATAATTCATAAGTTGATTTTCGTATTACGTAATTTAAAATTTAGATCAGAAAAATTTAGCACTTTACTTTCAATATTTAAATAAAATAATTCTAGTGACTTCATGACTGAATCATTCGTACATTTTTTATTTCCTTATTTTCAGACACAATTTCCAAGTGAATTTGTTTGAAATTAGAAGTAAAGAGAAACTTTAACTGTAATTGTTTGTAATATAAAGAGAATTACAATTGTACGGCTAAATTTAATGGATGTTATTTAACATTTCTG